CACAGGATAAATCACCACTCCCTTATAACCGTGTGAAGAAAAGCACCGTCCAGCCAGAACTGAAGCGGCGCGTGACTGGCCTGGGTGTGTATCTGAGCTCTCCAAAGGTGTACGAGGTCCCCAAGGGCCAGCACAGGTGAGCAGGCAAGATCAGGCAGGAGGGTGCCCGTAGGTCCCAGTTTGCCCACGTTGTGCCAGGATAATTAATAGCATCCCTATTCGTTTTCCTAAGTGGCCCCGTTTGGGCCATAAAATACAGTCATTTTAAAAAAAAGAAAGAAACTGAGAATAACCCGTGGCTCTTCGCCTCACCTGAGAGACTGCAAGTCTGCCATACTAAATGACTTCTTAATGGGTTGGCAAACTGTGGCCTCCGGGCCAAATCCGGCCCTTGGCCTGCTTTGTAAGGCACACAAGCTAGGAATGGCTTTTACATTTTAAAAGAGTTTGAAAGGAAAAAATATATATATGTGGCAGAGGCTGTACGTGGTCCAAAAAGCATAAAACATGTGCTTTCGGGTCCTTTACTGAAAAACCTTGCCCACCCCTGGTCTGTTCATCAGACCTTGCATCTTTGGGTAGAAGACCAGGATCCCGGATCATTATTAATGCCTTTGCCCCAAAGAAAGGTGACATTTGTGTTCCCGCATCCTATCTTTGCCAAATTCAATGTGGTGATCATTGCCATCTGCCATCCAGGCCCCCAACTGCATGCGCAATGACGCTAAATGCTGCCTAGTTCTGTGCCATTCCCACCATTGCTTGCAAATCAGACTGTTGTGATCCACAGGGTTTTCACTGGCTGATTTTTGGAAGTAGATCACCAGGCCTTTCTTCCTAGTCGCTCTTAGTCTAGAAGCTCCATTGAAACCTGTTCAGCATCATAGCAACACACAGCCCCAACTAACAGATGGGTGGTGGCTATGCATGAGGTGCACTGGCTGGGAATTGAACCCAGGTCTCCCATATGGAAGGCCAGAATTCTCCCACTGAACCACAGGTCCAGCACCCGCCTGATGCTGAGGCAGCATCCAGTGTTTGCTGAGTGAATGGCACGAACTCAAACACGACACTTGCCAGAGAATCCCATGTGGACAGAAGGCATCTGTTGAGACTCCCTCTCGATCTCCCTGTCCTGAGCATAATGACAGACAAGAGGAATGAGGGTGACAGCCTTACTGTGCTACAACAGGGCTGTATCCTTCTGGGGGTGGAGAATGCTGTGGCTGCCAGGCCTGCTTCTCTCCTGGGATGCCTCTTCTGAAGCCCAGGCCCCTTTGGTAGTTTCCTCTCACAAATCACAACCTGATGTCCAATCAGGCCCTCAGACACTGAAATCCCTTAGTGTTATGGTTCCACGTGGCCTGTGTTCCACGTATCTGCTGAGGAAACCTTTGTGAGTGATGCGCCTTTTCGTGTATAAACAGCAGCGTGTCCCCTCCTCCCCTGGGAATTGTATCTCCCCACCATGAGGTACTACTTTTCAGAATCACCATCTCAGTCTTTCAGTTCAGTGACATTGATCCTAGTTCGGGAAGACAGTCCTCGGAAAAAGAAAAAAAGATAACCTGTCTTGTCCTCTTGGCTCTGTCACCGACTAGCTTTGTGACTTTGGAAAATCACTCAGGGCTTTGATATCATTATCCACAAAAAGAAATCTCTCTGAGATCCCTTCCAACTTTAACACTGATGGTTTTATAAAGTCCAAACTACTGTCAGGAATACTATTTAATCCAGTGATTCTTATAAAGGATATAAATAGAGTAAGTGGTACTTCTTAAGAATTACATTGAGGAGCCTTTAAGAAATGCACCTTGGCCAACTTTCAAAAATATTCAGAGAACTGCCAGAGGCCCTCGGTCACTTATCCCTGCTAACAACACTCAGATGCCCTTCAGAGAGCAGCTGACAGCGAAGTGGAGTCTGAAAAGGTCAGTGGCAGAGTCAAGACCAGACCCCAGGCTCCTGACACCCAGTACCTCTGGACAGCAGAGCACCCTGCTTTCCAGGGCTACAAGGGGATTTACCTAAAACACGGAACAGAATGTCTCTGATAGGGGTTGGGTGAAAAAAATCACCTAGCACTGCCTTGCACGTGGCAGATGAGCAGTTTAACTCAACTATTCAGAGCTGGGTATTTGCTATTCTGAAGACATGGCTCTAGGAAAGTGTTTTTTGTTGTTGCTTTTTTCTTTACCCCACGCAGCTGAGGTAAAAAAAATTAAATCTCACAAGTTGGATTTCAGCAGTCTGTAAGGAGCCCTGGTGGTGCAGTGGTTAAAGCACTCGGCTGCTAACCAAAAGGTCGGAGGTTTGAACTCACCAGCCGCTCTGTGGGAGAAAGATGGTGGCAGTCTGCTTTCATACAGATTTACAGCCTTGGAAACCCTATGGGGCAGTTCTACTCTGTCCTATAGGGTCGCTAAGAGTCGGAATCGACTTGACGGCAGTGGGTTTGGTTTTGGGGTTAAGGATTAGGGAAACCATACTGAATCTGAAATAGACATTCACAAAAACCAATCAGTGTTATTTATTTTTTTCCCCTTACCCATTTCTCTGAAGGCAAACCTTGAGAAAGACAAGTATACACAGGGCATACTTTGTGTATCTATCCACCAGGTGCTAAGCTTTGATATGCTCCACTCATCCACTGTGGGGTCACCACTGACTGTCCCAGGTGACAGAGGGCTGGCTGACATTATTGAACATCTGGCAGCAGTTCGCTCCCTCCATCCTTTCTTCCGAATTTCAAAATAAATCATTTCTGGAAACCTTACTTAGGGTGAATGTCCAATATCCAATGCAGAAGGGAGTCTCCCCAAGGGCTGATTACAGAGTTTGGCTGATCAAGCAGTTAAAAGCTATGATAAACCCACTGCCATCAAGTCAATTCCGACTCATAGTGACCCTATATGACAGAACAGAACTGCTACATAGGGTTTCCAAGGAGTGGTTGGTGGATTTGAACTGCTGACTTTTTGGTTAGCAGTTGTAGCTCTTAACCACTGGGCCAGCCAGGGCTCCAAAGCTATGATAAAACCAAGAAACCCAAACCCATTGCCATCAAGTCAATTCCAACCAACTGACAGCAACCCTACAGGACAGAGTAGAACTGCCCCATGGGGTTTCCGAGTGGCTAGTGGATTAGAACTTGCCGACCTTTTGGTCAGCAGCCAAGCTCTTAACCACTGCGCCACCAGGGCTCCATAAAGCTATGATAACAGTCACTTACAGTTCTCCCACTTTGGTGTCAATACACTAAACCAAATATATGCTTCAAGGGCAAGTGGGAGACGGAAAGGGACAAGCCCTCGGGTCATTAAATATGGCTGCAGAAACACGGGGCAGAAGGACACCGGCCCGAGCTTCCTCTCCAGCACTCAGTCTCAGCCACAATCAGCCTGCACTGCCCACAGCTTAAAAAGCAATTACCCTCCCTTCCTCCATGTCTTACAATTTCCTTAACTCAGCCATTGATTGTAATCAATCCCTTTGGAAATGTCAATTCTAAGTGCAGAAACACCTTGACTTAAAGTGTTTCTCCCCCTCCTCTGACTCCAAGAATAGAAAGACAGTTTCAGTTCCATTTTTTCTACCTTTATTGCATTTTTGCTTTCGAGATACAAACAAACTGCTCGCTTATACCACACAAAACACATCCATTCTTGTGATTTTAAAGTGCATTTCCCCTTTAACTTTGTGTACAAAAATATTTATTTTTTAAACATGTGGAACATTTCTCGACAAGGCACTTTTTTAGGCACACAATGAAGAAGAGAGTCTTTGGTTCTACATTCACACTGAAGTAAAACTGAAACAGTGTCATCACAGCTGCGTTCTGGAAGTCCTCGTAGATCCAGCCATTTCTAGGAACTGATAGCAAAACCGTAAAACACGTTCACAGCCTGATAACTTGGGCTGCGCCTTACAACCCCGATGAGGAAACACTGCCTAGACAATGGCTTTCCATTCCAGTCCCAGGCTTCGCGAAAGAAGCTAAGCTGCCAAACTGACTTCAGATGGTCCTGTCAGAGCCCATCATGTGTGACGACTTCTCCCCAGTTTCAGTGATCATATCAGGAGAATTAGCTATCAGGACTACCGAGGCCTACTCTGGTAAACCACAGCCATTCAGAGAATTTTAAAAGAGGAAACTAATGAAAAAGGACCAAAGGCTTCATTCATTGTCTGTTGAGAGGAAAGACCCAGAAAGTGGGCACTTCTGATAAATGAGCAAATAAACACTTACTTGGCTTATACGCATATACAGCCCATTTAATGTCCAACTGACGCAAGTAATGCTTACTTTTAAAAAGCAAATGATATGCGAAGATCAAAAACCACAAAGCATTCTCCTAGAAGTACAAAATACACATCTTTAAAAAACTTACTGGAAGAGTTAACACTCTACCATCTTCAAAATCAAATTTTAGATACAAAATAAATTCTACCATTGACTCTGAAATTGTTTCAATTTCTGGAGAACCACAAAACTCCACTCTTTTTTATAAGTGCACCCTTATAAGAATACTTAAAAAAAAAAAAAAAAAGTCAAATGCTTCCTATCTTCCAAGAAACACTGAAAGCTTATTTATTATACATACGTGTGTATTCCAGCTTATTTATTGCACCCACTTTGTAAATGCTCCCCAGGGCATTTTGAGGAAATAACTGCGTCACAAAAATGGAGCTGTTTCCCATCCTGGACAAGTGGCTGGCCCTCCTGGGGCAATCTGGGAAGGACAGTGGGACTGCAGTCATTTGCCGCCATAAGCAAGGGCTACCGGAAGGCCAAAGCTGCAAGTGAGGCTGCAGTGAAGTCTCCAACTAAGAAGACTGTCACCTGGAGTGTGAAGGGCCTACCTACGACGCACTGAGCGATAACGGAGAGGCCCCCTGAAAGCAGTTCCTAGGGCCCAAAGGAGGAAGACGGCGGTGGGGGGAGGAGGGCACAGTAAAAAAAGGGCAGTATTCTTCCGCCACTGCTACCTCAGTGAGTGACAACGCTCCAGAGGGAAGTCGGGGAACCACGTCCTTGAATAAGGGAAGGGTCTTTGCAAGCAGGTGAGGACTTGTCTTCTGAACTGCCTGGAGAGGTGCGCGTCCCAGGTGCGCTGGCTGCGGGCTTGCAACCAGTGCTCTGAGCGCAACAGCAGGGCTGAGCTAGGAGCAGGGAAGGGGAGGGGAGGCTGACGGCTGTTTCAGAAGAGATGCTTATCACTGAATTAGAATATTTCAAATTTTGACATGGGAATGTCTTAGACAGTCACTGGAGGCATCTTCCTTATGAACACTGAACTCTCGTTACCCTCAGTCTGATAGCATACAAATGGCAGTGCACCTCGTACCCTTCTGCATGTGGTGGAGGGAATCTGAAAGAAATCCATGACCTACAAGAAATCAGCTTGCTTCTCTTCGATTCAGTCCAACGCTGTGTATAGTTCTGACCACCAAATTTCTAACACTTCACATACCGTCTGTGTACTTGATGTTAGGTTTACTTACATAAAGCGCAGTTCTAACTCATTCCAGCATAAGATAAAAACGTTACGTCCCCATAAATGACATTAGCATATAATCCCAGTGTGCTACCCACCCGGGAGAAGCACAAAAGCAACACAAAGCACTAAATTGCAGACTAGTAACAGCCAGTTTTATGAACAAGAATTACATGGACCACTGAGAGCATTTACAAACGCAAAACATTTTAAAGTTTAAAACAAAAACAATGAAACTCTCAGAGCCACAGTATTCAGTGACTGACGCTGAGCCTCAGGCCACATTTACAAAGTCACAGGGGCCATGAGGTGTTTCCAATTGATCTGGATAATGCAAGCAAAGGAAGACCCTTTGCTCGGAGAGTCCAACAGCTGTGCCCCCACATCCAGACAACGGTGCTTCCTCTTCCTGCCTCCCTTGGGAAGACTTGCTTTAGTAGGATCAGGCAAAAAGAAAACAAGACAGTCATTTAACCAAGCTCAAAAAAAAAGAAAGCAAAAACCTCAACCTTTTACAAACAGACATGTAAAAATATTTTAAAAACACTCCTAAATACAAACCGTTCTCGCCCAGGAGAAGTCACAGGTTTGGGGCATTCATTTGACAATGAATGACCCAGGAGTCTCTTCACAATAGCATTAGCCAGCAGACTTTATTTCTGTAGGTCCAATATGGGTAAGAACAATTCATCTCTGACACTTCAGAGTTGGCAAATATTTAAAACAGAACACAAGAACTTGGTTGGGTTTTCTTCTCTGTCCCTTTCCATACTCACACACCGTAAGTAAGAACACCCAAATCCAAGTCCCTGGGTGCCTGTAAAGTGTCCTGGACATTGTAAATCACAGCCAGAATAAAACCAAGCATTTTCTGGAGGCTTTAAAGATTTGTAGGATATGTAAATCAAAATGTCCTAAACACAGTATAAAAGATGACTTCAGAAAAGGAGCTTAAAAATTCTTTTTAAAGAATGAGACGCTTGCGACCCAGCCAACGAGTTAGAACAAAGCTCCCCTAAAAGCTAAAAGGAAAAGCTGCAACGGTCCCACTCATAACCTTCCTGCCACATCACAGCCCTGCAATCTGTAACACTGCTCAGGGGCCAGTCATTAGCTAACTGGGTGTTTCTCTCACTGGAGCACAGACGTGGGGCCAGGAAGAGAGGGGAGGAAATGCCTGTCGGTCACAAGCTCATTTGCCTTTATTATCTTTTTCTGAACATCAGATGGACTGTGTAAGAAAATAAAATGCCACAAAATGAACTTGTAATCATATGATAGCGCAGGGGAAAAAAAAAAAAAAAGAAAGGAGCCGATCCCATCTCTCTTCCATAGCTGTATTAGAAATGTGCAACATCAGACCAGCGCATCCCCACAGAGAGATAAAGTATGAAGTATGTGTGCAGACAAGGAACTGCAGCGGCAACACGCGGGAAAGGCCTGGCTAGGTGGACAACACCGAAGATGAGTAGCAAGAGTCCAGGGTGAGGTGGCTGGGACTGAGTGGCACGTGCAGGTGACACCTTGCAGGTGACTTTCCACATCCCAGGTGAGAGCAGTGGGTCCTTCCGGCATCCCAGGCACGCCCCCGGTGGCGGCAGTCAGGCTCGTCCTGCAGCACTGCCAGCACCCCTCAGACCTGGTTCCCGGGCATCGAGGACCCTTCCAGCATCATCTGCTCCTAGCCTCCAGGCTGCCGTGGCCCAGCACGCCACATACACCCTCCGGTGTGCCCACTGAGGGAATCACTATGAAACCAGTTCTGTGACATAAACCTGACTGGATTTGCTGGCTTAAGAAAAAAAGTGAACAGGATCCTTTCTTTTAAAAAGCGTGCCTAATGGCAGTTCAACTTGACTCTTTTCTTGGCTTCCGTCTACATCCCCGTGACCGGAGCCAGGCTGTCTGTGCACCGGCTCAGCCACGCTCTACCCAGTGCGGGTCACTAATAGTAGGGCCCTAGCTTTTCAAATCCTAAATAACTAGGCCACTCGGGGAACAGACCATAGGAACACCGAGGGCTTCCAAACTGGTCGAAGGATATTCCAAAGTCGGGTCCATTTGGGGGCTCGCCTGTCCCCCGAGTGGATTTTAACTCAGCCTGGACGATCCTATAGTTTTTGCCTTTGTTGCTGTCCCAGTACGTCTGTCCGCTGCACTCATAGCATACAGCAAACTCCATCCTTTCATAAGACTGGATTTTTTCAGGTAAGCTTATGTCAAAGGAGAAGGTGTCCTTGTCCGAACCGGCGTAAGTGTCCTTCACGTACTGACAAGGAAAGTCCGTGAAGCTCTTCCAAGTGTCGAATGTTATTCTTATTTTCACCATCTTCTCAAAGGCGAGGTTCTGCACCTTCACTGTGCCGGCAATGGCTCTGTCCTTCAGCACACAGTTTTCAAGGCAGACGTGGTCCGTCTGAAGTCGGTTTCTAAAGTCTAAGTAATCTGCAGAAGGCTGTGAGAAATCCAGAACAAAGCTCTCGCTCTCTGCTGTCGTCAAACTCACGATGTTGTCTAGCAGCTCAGTGATGTTGAATGGAATATCTAATGGGTCATCAAATTCAGAGAACACTTTGACCATCGTCAAGGCTAGCCCTTGGTTGTCTGCAAAGGACACCCGTTTTTTCACCTTTTTCTCCTGGACAGTTGGGGCCACCATTCCACTGGTTTCATTCTTGCTGCTCAGCTGAATACAGGGCCTCAGAGGTTTGCTTGGCTTTGGCGAGATCTTGAAGGCGAACCTCTCTCGGCGCAAGGAAGGGGCCATGCAGTTGTATCCGTACTCTATGTCCACGGCCATCTTTGGGCTAGATGAGTAGGCTAGAACCCTGGGAAAGGGGGAAAAGGAACAAAACAGCAAAGAGATCAGATGAATGTTAAATGCATCATTCCAACAGAGACTAGCAAACAATGGGCTGTTTCCCTTCACCTCCGCCCACACGGCTCACAGTATTAACCAAAGTGTGGTCCAGCACATCACTGGTTTCAAGGGAACTTAAAAGGGCGAAATGGAAAAAAAAAATTCACAGTTAAAAAAAAAAAAAAGTGTGGAATTATTAGTTTTAAAAGTAAGTTGACAGGTTTTTTTCTGTCAAGAATTCTTAGGTTCCTGGGTGGCGCAAATGGTTACACACTTGGCTGCTAACCGAAAGGCTGGTTTGATGAGTCTACCCAGAGGCGCCTCAAAGGAAGGCCTGGGAATCTACTTCAAAAAAAATCAGCCATTGAAAACCCCACGGAGCACAGTTCTCCTGTGACATCATGGGATGGCCATGAGTTGGAATCAACTCTGCGGCAACTGGTTTGGTTTGGTTTCAGTATGGTAATGGGGGCCGACAATGAAGAGGGCATACTGTCTGCAGAATGTGCCAAGCTTACTTGATATGCAAATTTTTCTGGCGAGCAACTTGAAGAACAGCTGTTCTGAAAAACACATTTGGTAAATACTGCTTTAACAGAAAGAAAGGAATTCCTCCCACAAATACTGATTTACTGTTTACTTTTGCCAGGCATTGTACTAGACAGTGGGACTCAGTAGTGAAGACAGACACAAACCTGCTTTCATTCATTTACAACAGGTCTTTATGGTCTAGTGTAGCTTTCTTTAAGGAGCCCTGGAGGTGCAATGGTTAAATGCTAGGCAGCTAACTGGAAGGCTGGCTGTTTGAACTCACTCAGCCGCTCTGCTCTGCAGGAGAAAGACCTGGTGATCTGCTCCCATAAAGATTACAGCCTAGAAAACCCTATGGGGCAGTTATACTCTGTCGTTATGAGTTGGAAATCGATTTGACAGCATCTAACAGCAACAGCATATCTTTCATTAAAGAAAGAACCAGAAATTTAGTATTTTTAAACCTTTCACATATGTGACTATTTGTCTTTTCTACAGGTGAAAATAGCTTTTATAAGAATAAAAAGAAAAAAGACTCATGCTAAAGGAAACAGATTGCTAACTCTGATTCATAAAAATGATCATTTCTTTAGGTAAGAAAATAAATAGAACCGAAAGATTAAATACAAATTGGGAGAACATTTTACAGTGAGCATGACAGCAAAGTTAATACTTCAATGTATAAAGGTCTTACAAAGTAATAACAAAAGCAAAGATTCCACATTAAAAAATGAGCAAAGGGCACGAGCAGCAAATTCATGGAAGAAATTTAAAAATGGGTCATAAGTATGCAAAATGTTCAACCTTATAAGTTACTTAAGAAATTTATATTCAGAAACAGTGTCTGTTTTTACCTATCAAATTAGGAAAGAACTTAGAGAATACAAATCTCTGCATTTGTCTAGACTGGTACATCATCCCTAAACGTTCTTGTAATTTGATGTTCTAATATCACATACATGTATCTTACAGAAATAATTAAAGGTGCACCGAGGTTAATGTACTAAAATGTTCAATGCAGCATTATTGGACGGGGACCGGGGGAGAGTAAGAAATACCTTAAAGACCGATAGCAGGCATCTGGTTAAATGAATTGTACTACATCCATACGATACGCTTTTAGATGGTCATTAAAACCATAATTTGCAAGAATATTGAAATGGCACAGAAAAAACTGATAATATATTATTAACGTAAAAAATGGAGAAGGTAAAATTGCACAGAGACCCTACTTGTGGGGAAGAATTATTATGCATATACAGAGGAAAAAAAAAAAGACCAATAATATACTCAGCACTACCAGTATATCTGGAGCCCTGGTGGCACAGTGGTTAAGAGCTCGGCTGCTAACCAAAAGGTCGGTCAGCAATTCGAATCCACCAGCCGCTCCTTGGAAACCCTGTAGGGTCGCTATGAGTGGGAATCGACCGGACGGCAACAGGTATCAGTATATCCAGTCGATAAGATTTCGTGAAATGTGTTTTCCTGCTTTGTACTTTCTCGTATTTTCTAAAATACGTATTATTTCTATAATCAGAAAAAAAAAATCTTTAAAAAAAAACCTCCAATGTTTTGAGATTTACCAAAAACCCATCCCAACACTACTGCCTCACTGAAGCTAAGCAATTTTATCATCCTAATTACCATGGCAAATTTACCTTCTGATTTGACGATTACAATGGGCTCCATTAGAAAAGTCAGTGACAAAACTAGGATTCAAATCTCAAATCTGAGAATCACAGGACAGAGGATTACTTCCCAAGCTTATCTCCTCTCCTATGGCAAAGGGGTAGGTGAGTGGCGGTGTTGTGGGGGCGCTCGCTCGAAGACCCAGATTGCCTTCCCTAGGCCCCAGATGGTGTGAAAGGTTAAGCACTTGGCTGCTAACCGAAAGGTTGGAGGTTCAAGTCCACCAAGAGGTACCTTGGAAGAAAGGCCTGGCAATTTACTTCTGAAAAATCAGCCACTGAAAACTCTATGGAGCACCGTTCTACTCTGACACACGTGGGGTCACCGTGAGTCAGAATCGACTCACAACAACTGGTTAGTTCCCACCCTGTGACTGGGGCTGCGGGTGAGAGGGGCAGTTAAGGAAAAGCATTAGGCAAAATGCTGCTGATCTTCTGACAAAAGCTGGGACCACTGGTTCAGCCCAGTAAATATGTCATTTTCAATTCCTGATTTTGATGAACCAAATATACAAGAGAAAAATGAGAAAGGAGGAAGACATGTTAAGTGTGACCCCATTTTCCAAAAGAAGTTCCGAACTACGCTGGGATGGACGAGGTGAGCAGCCTGGATTTCAGCCGGGTGTCCAGAGAGACACGCAAACTCAGAGACAGAGAAAACAGGTGAAATGAGCGCCAACAGCAGTTATGGAAACATTCACTTTAAAGGATATTTATCTTCGTCTCTCTCCCCAACAAAGTCAATCTAGTGACAAATTTAAGGGCAAATGTGCTTTCTATTACCTGTTCTTATACACACGTAATTGTTTTAGAATGAAAAGCCCTGACTGACCTGGGCAAGATAAGTTCAGAGGAAAGTTGTATTTGTTTGCTTGTTTGTTTTTAAATACAGATGAAAAACCAACCAACCAACCAGCCAACAGTCCTTGCCACGTGTCCCAGGCCCTCCCACTCTGCCCACCCTTAAAATCCTGGTGTGAGCCGAGGGAGGGTGGGTTCCTCCTCGGCCGCTTCCTCCTGGACTGAGTCAGCATACGGTCAACTTCAAGTTCTCTATGCGTCTCTGACAAGCCTGTAAACCACCTTCATACGTGCTTTCCCATACAGCCACCTTTAAAACAGTTCACCCAAAAAAGACTGGGAACTCTCAAGATACAGTGGAAACAGAATTCCACAGCAAAGGAATCTCACACTTCCAGCAGACTGAAACCACTCCCAAGGGCCAATCCTGCAGGTTAAAAAGACTTGGTTGAAGACCTTGGAGAAGTTTCACGGTTGCAGCCCCTAGTGGTAGAAATCTGCCCCCAAGGTCTCCTTTTATCACCAAGCTGTGTGAACAAAGAGAACTGGGGCTAGGGAGGCGAGGGTCTTGGCAAAGCCAGAGCTAGTTAAACAATTCTACTGGCACTTTCCAGAGCCAGGGAAAAAAAAAAAAAAAAGCTTTGCAACATTTGTCTGTGAAAGACAACACGAAGGTTAACCACCTGGTGACCCAAGGTTACTACCAGGGCTACTGGCCCAGTGGGATTGCACAAGCAACCCCTGCCCAGAATACCTTCATTTTTTCTAAGTGTCACCATAACCGAAAGTGGGGACATTAACCCCTGCGGCCTCAACCTAGGGTACAATGTGACTGTGAGCCACCTTGTCTGTCTTCACAGGTAGATTCCAGCGTTACGAATGCAATGATTCTCCAAAAATCAGTGCACCCAAGTGCTGGCTTGATATAAGCTCTCCTGATCTTCTGCTCAAGAAACTCCCCAACAACCGTGACGTGGATGATTATCACCTAGAAGTATTCCTAGCAACGGAGATGTACAAGGTAATATTTTCTTAAGCCCCTGAAAGAAAGGTACCTAGACAGGTGTTTTATTCTCAGATGGCACGAAAATGATCGGTTCCAACACAGGATGTGCTCGGCCGCACTGCAGGCCCTCTCTCCGGGCAGCAGGCCCTCCGGGCTGCTCCAGCCCTTTCTCTCTCTTGCCAGGGACTGGGAGTTGCCAAGCAAAAACCCAGAACTAGAAGATAAGGACACACTTGAACCAGCAGAGTGTGACACTGGATCTGGACACAGGGGATGAGCAGCTGTTCCCCAGGCCAGTTGGGCTTCTTACTTTGCCCCCCTACAGATGCCTAAGAGATCCATTTTGCCCAGTGAGGGACTGGGTCATGCCCAAGGACCGATTTCCGTGTTCCTGGCCAAGAGAGGCCAAACTCTAACACTGTGAAAATGGATAGTTTTGCATAACTGCCTTCCCTGTCAAATCAGTGACAGATAACCCAGCTTCTCGAGACAGCTAGCCACGGTTAGGTATCACAGCAACTTTGCTTGTGAAAACTATAGACAGGGACAGAAGATAACCCGATGACCTCCACAGTTGCAGGCAGCTGAGCCAAGAACAACTACCAACTGTCTGGCTATGCTTTTTCTAGGAAGCAAACCTTTTTTTTGGTTGTATTTAGTCCAACACATTCTCCCCTCCATTCCCTTGCACTCTGATAAGACAGAAAAATTGGATGCACCGTAAACCCAGAGGAAACCTTGAAAACTCTATCCAAACCATTAGGTAAGCATTGGAAACCAGGTTATCGAATGTTTTAAGACAAGGCCATTCAGCATTTCTTTATTCCCTCCCTGAAGGTCTGGCTGATACAGTAGGGATAAAGCTGAAATCTTCCCCCTTTGTATTCAGACCATGGGGCCCAATTCACGGCCTCTTGTACGGCTCTATCCTGTGACCATCACCCAAAGTATCTTTGAGATATATGTCTGTGAACGGGCTGCACGTTATAGGAAAGTGGAAAAGGGAAGCTGGCACAGTCCCTGCTATCTAACAGTGTCCGACCTGAAACACACAGCGCTGGCTAGGTAAAGTGAAGCTGGCGCAGTCCCTGCTATCTAACAGCGTCCGACCTGAAACACACAGCGCTGGCTAGGTAAAGTGAAGCTGGTGCAGTCCCTGCTATCTAACAGCGTCCGACCTGAAACACACAGCGCTGGCTAGGCAAAGGGGCTGTACTTAGCTCTGCCACTTGCACAAGTCACTCAACCTCTCTGGGCTCCAGTTTTCCCCTCTGAGCTTCCTGCTAACGCCAATATCCCATACTGCTAATAAAGCCCCATGGGCTTTCTCTTCCCTCTAACTCCTCCCTAAAGGCCTCAACTTTACTTCTGTGGTGAGTCCTCCAGCTGTCTTCACTTTAACCTTGGCTCCTGGACAACGCTGCCCAACGAACCATTTCCTCTTCTCCTCCTCCTCACCCCAACCCAAGGCTCTAACTTCTCTTCTCCTGGACCCTAGCTCTCCCAGAGGCCAAACACACAAACCGCAGACCCCAGTACGCTTCAGCAACTCAGCTCCCAAGTCACCTTCCTCCCGCTCTCTTTCCTTCAGAAAACAATACCCTGACATGCCCCACCTCTTCCACTGTGTCGCTCTGGGCCTCTACTTTTGCAGTTACTGCCCGTATCACACCCCTTTCTCTGAGTTCAAAAGGATGCAGCGAACAGGGTCCCAGGGGCAGGCAGGAGGGTCC